GGTCACAATCACCCTTGAGCCTAGATCTAGTTCTGGGCACTGTTAGGAGTGCCAGATCACTGGATCTAAGTGATCTAGAGGGAACATGTCTTACGAGGAGATCTGCAAGATAAGGTGGAGTGCGGTTATTAATAGACTTAAATACCATGACCAGGATTTTGAACTCAATTGTGTATTTTACAGGTAGCCAATTCAACGAAACATGGATGGGAGTGATATGTTCATATTTTCGTGACCGGGTCAGGAGTCTAGCAGCAGCGTTCTGGACTAGTTGCAGCCGATCTAGAGATGACTTATTAATACCGCAGTAAAGCGAGTTGCAATAGTCTAGGCGGGAAAATATCAGCGCATTAATGATTTTCTGAGTATCTGAAAAATGTAAAAACGGTTTAACTTTTGCGATTTGACGTAGATAAAAGAAGCAAGACCGAACAATTTAAAATAGGTCTAAAATTAGACAGTAAAGCTGGATCTAAATTCCCTTTTTTTAGTTGAGGTCTGACTGTTGCATGTTTTAACTGATCTGGTACAGTTCCAGTGCTAAGAAATTTATTTATAAGAGACAGCAAACTAGGTCCAAGCGTCTTTACAATCTGTTTAAAAAAATGTGGAGGAATCGTATCATGCGGGGAAGCAGAAGGCTTTAAGTGATATGTGTCGTCAGCGGAGCAATGAAACGCTATCCCATCTTTCGCAAGAATATCGCATAAAGGTATCATATATAAAGATAATAAAGTTGGAGCTAAAATGGATCCCTGCGGAACTCCGCAAGCAAGATGCGCCGTGGAAGAAGCGAAATTAAAATCAAAAGAATGCACGAGACTTATAAAGTCCTTAGATAGCGGGATTGAGTCACAACACACATGGATATTAAAATCCCCGAGTAGCAATAGCCTGTCATATTTTAGAACAATTGTCCCCAAAAAGTCAGCAAATTCATCCATAAAGTTTTTGTTCAATTTTGGCGGCCGGTATATTAGGGCCACTGCCACTGGATTTGCAGCGTTCATAAGAAACAATTGCAGTTCAAAGCTATTATAAACATCCGATGACAAAGCACAAATGTTACATTTCTTATTGAATATGGTCAGCAGTCCTCCCCCTCGCTATTTATATAACTGCAATAATTCGGCATTAGTTCTGAGAGGACACTGATATTACCCTCATTTAGCCAGGTCTCAGTCACGCATAGTATATCCAGTTCATGTGAGACAAAGAAGTCATTTATAATGAAGGTCTTGTTTACCCAGGATCTGGCGTTGATCAGTGCCAAATAAATCGACGGTACCCGATTTATCCGAGCTGGTTCCCGGCATAGAGAGAGCGCAGGTTGTAGAAATGTACGCCTCTGACATATGATTTGGATGGGATATACACAGCTGGGTAACGTGGAGTTGTATACGTGGTCGGATAGTACAACACTTCGGCAAGGCGGACAGGGTCAGCATGGCTGTATCCTCCTGTTAGTTGGCGTAAGCAAGGATGTCGCACGCGAACAACTTTCCAGAGGAGTTTGCGTTTAATGGCAGTGCCACCTCGCCTACCGCGTTTCCTACGCCGTTTCCTTTTCGTAGGATCTCCATGCCACCGACGCAAGTAGGCCGGTATATCCGACAGAACCGGTGGAGAAGAGTAAACACAAGGGCTCTGTAGAGCGGTCAGAGTCCAGTCTTTGGTTAAGCTTTGGAGGTTGAGGAGCGTCAGACGATCGTAGACTATTATGGGTGAACTGCCTTGGATTAAAAAATATAAAATAAGTACTAAAACAACTAGGTCCCATGGGACATGTAGATAGCAAGCCGCAAGCAAAGGCGCCATCTTGAAAAAGTAGCTTTATTTGAGTAACTGATTGAAATCATTGTAAATATTAATTGATAATATTCACCTCTGCTGCTGCTTTCAATTCAAATACTTGACATCTGTTCATGAGGTACTCAAGAACTACTGATGTTTGAAATTGTTTCAGTCCAGACTGCTCCATATGTGCCGTATTTGATTTAGATTCTGGTTGAGATAAATATTAGGTCACACTTTAGTTTGGGGACCAATATAACTGTTAAAGGGATAGTTCACCCAAAAATGAACATTTGATGTTTATCTGCTTACCCCCAGGGCATCCAAGATGTAGGTGACTTTGTTTCTTCAATAGAACACAAACGATTATAATGGAAGTCAATGGGAATCACGGCTTTGAGAGTACAAAAAAACATACACAAACAAAACCAAAATAAACCCTGTGGCTCGTGACGATACACTGATGTGTAAAGACACGAAA